TGCTCCTCCCACTAGTGATACTGCTCCCATTACTGCTGCTGCTGATGCTCCTCCCACTAGTGATACTGCTCCCATTACTGGTGCTGTTGCTCCTCCCACTAGTGATACTGCTCCCATTACTGCTGCTGCTGCTCCTCCCACTAGTGATACTGCTCCCATTACTGCTGCTGCTGATGCTCCTCCCACTAGTGATACTGCTCCCATTACTGCTAAACACACTGGTGAGTTTGTTTTTAAATTGCGAAATAGTTTTGAAATTTGCTGTTTTCACATCTTTGCACTCTTAAGGCGGCTGCAAGGGCTGCTCCTGAAGACCAGACAAGAGCTGATTTCTCTCCTACTGCAGCCCCCACCTATTAACACTGCAGCAATGCCATGCCGGTGAGAGCTGTGGGTTCGAACAGGGTGTGTAGAGGCTGTTAGCAAGTTCTGTCATGAGATATAAACAGGTCTAGTTTAAAAGTATCGGCAGAGAACCTGTTTAGAAGGAATAAGGTATGCACACCCTGCAGAGGGCTAAAGCACACCTTACCTGTTTTGGAGCCAGTGAGCAAATCTGGCCCAGGTGAAGTTCTGCAAGGGTGAAAACTTCAGCATAGCATGGAAGACGTCTCCCATGAGGCACCACAAACAGCCAAGGTCTTCTGCCAAGATCAAAATAAAGTTGAATGAGTATCACACCATGCCACAGAATTCAGAGCTGCCTCCTGGGTAGAGGCTAATTGATACAGGATAGTAACCTCTGGCATTCTCTGCATTTGCTCTTGCACTAGGTTGCTAGTTAGCAAACTGTAGCGAGGGAGCAGGGAGTACAGCAGGACGCAGAAGTGTGTGATGTCTTGACAGCCTTCGCTATTGAAGCCTCCCTCCAGCAGATCGGCAGTACGAACCTGCATGAGAGGTACAGGCCCCCGTCATTACCTGGTCAGAAAAAAAAAACGTCCGCCTGTCCCCTCCAGCTGCTTTCTGGCTCAAAAGGCAACAAAGGAAAATAAAAAGAAAACAAAAAAAAAAAACTTGAAGGATCTCCATTCCCTCTGATTTGCTTCTGCAGGATCTTCAGCCCATGTTTCCAAACAGGTTCCCATTTCCATGGGGGTGCCAAGAACTCAGGACCCAGCAGGTCCCTGCCTGATCTGGGTCTGTGACAAGACTGCAGCTTGGGTCATGGCGAGTTCTGATTCTGTAAATAGAAGACTCTGACCTTCCACAATATGCACCAATAAAGGGCAATAGGACTGAATATCGAGATACAAGCTCAGTGTTGGGCCACCAGCCTTTAATTGATTGATTGGTTCATTGACTGATTGATTGAGCAGTATGATACAGAATCATCACTGCACTGGCTATCTGCTACAATTATCACAAGTTCCTGTCTGCCTCATCTCTAGCGTTACCCTCACACAACTCCTTGACTTCAAACCAATCACAGTTTAACAGCACTGGGAGCAAACTTCTTTACTTACCTGGAACAAAATACATACAGCAGGTAGACTCAAAGGTAGACTGAAGAATTTAGAAATGAAGCAGGGAGCTAAGACTTAATTCCTTCTTTTACGAGAGCATGAAAGAAGAGGTGCAGATTAAGGAGTCCTCCTCTGGACTTCCATGAATAAAAAATGGTTAAAGGTTTCATTTAGGGCTCTTTCATAATGTAGGAGACCCTTGAGCACATTGCTGCAGAAAGAGGACCTTTCCTCTAAGCACATACAGTATGAGAAATGAAAGAGCAAAACCAAGCCGCACACGTGTAGCTATTTGTCTGGGCAGTTCATCATGAGTGAAAATCACCAGGCACGTTTCCACCACTCCCCACAGGCACAAGGGAAGGCTGCACAACACCACCCACTCAGAGTCTACCCTGTTCAGGATATCCCTTTATGCTCACTTCCTTGAAAGAATGTACCTGGTCGTTCTTCTCCAGACTGATTCCTGAGCTGCAGTATTTTGTGTAACGTGGTGAACAAAATTGCATGCAATATTCTCACTGAGGTTGTACTAGTACATTTTACACTTTTGATATAACACACTTTATTTTAATTTCTCCACCTTTGACTTAGCATCTTATCATTTTATCTTTTTCTTGCTTCCCCACACTGTCTAGATGATGTACATGATATGTCATATACAGTAGCACGTTGCCCGTCTGATTTTTATAGTTTATGTTTTCACTACCTGTACGTAACACTCTTCACATCTACATTAAATATTATTTGCCAGGTGTTTGCCCAGACCTGATTTCCACCAAACTGACCTTGCAATGTCTTCAGTGTATATTTCAGCCCTTAAGGATCAGAGTTCTCTTAATAGCTTAATCGCTTGATTTATCTTGCCAATCTTCTGAACCAGAATAATAAATACAAGAATAACT